AGGATGGCACCTATGTGAGACACACATGTCCCAAATGCCTTGTAGCGGGCCTCCTGAGAGGCAAGCTGTAGAACTGCCCGAAGGATGAAGACATAAGACAGGATAACAAAGAATAAGTCCAACACCACAATAAACATGGCCACAGCGATGCCATAGATATTGTTGAAGCGGGTGTCCCCACATGCCAGTCTTACCACGGCCATGTGTTCACAGTAGCAGTGCGCAATCACCGGGCCCCGGCAGTAGTGGAAGCGTCTGAGCAGAAAGGGGAGTGGAGTCATTAGTGTCACAGCCCGGGCCACAGCGGCCATGCCAATCTTGGTGATAAGGGGCCCGGTCAGGACAGTGGTATAGTGCAGTGGCTTGCAGATGGCCACATAGCGGTCAAAGGCCATGGCCAGCAGCACTGCTGACTCCATGATGGAGAAGGAGTGGAGAAAGAACATCTGGACCAGACAGGCGTAGAAGTTGATCTCCCGATCCCTGAACCAGAAAATGGCAAGCATTTTGGGCAGGGTTGAAGATGAAAGGACTAGATCAATGGCTGCCAACATGGCCAGAAAGAGGTACATGGGTTCATGGAGGGCTGCATATGCCTGAATGATGAACAGGAGGGTGCAGTTGCCGAGCAGAGCCAGAGTATAAGTTGAGAAGAAGGGGATAGAGATCCAGATATGTAGGTGTTCCAGGCCTGGGATCCCCATCAACAAGAAGACTGCTGGATGGGTTGAGGTGACATTGTAGGCTGAGATCACCATGGGGAATTCTCGTCCTCCTTATCTGCTTCTACAGGGCCCTTTCAGAGAGAATTCAGTATCAGCAGAATTACAGTGCTCAAATTCAAACTCTGAACATTCATGTAGGAAGATTAGCCCTTATTCCCATTTTTAGACCTTAAAAGAAATTAGAAAATAATCCTATGCACCATATGAAACATTATGCATGCTCCTTGTCCTCAAGGTATTTATAAAATCTTTGTGTTGTCAGGGCATTAAATACCAATAGAACTAATATCACAAAGCAGCCTTATTGAGGAATCAAGTGCAGGAAGAGCTTTCTGTCGTCTGCATGTGTCCAAAGACAGCTCCATAAAGGATGTAGATTCCTGCTTAATTCAGATCTTACCCCAAAGCATTCACTGTCTTTCACTGTCCTCCTATTGCCTCCCAACTCAAATTATACTCCTAATTTTGGAAGGACAATTTCTGTCCTGAAATGTCAAAGTTGACTGTATGAAAAATAAATAAGCCTAGCACCTTCTAATAATTCACTTCCCTACAAGTTCTGTAGACTTTTTCCATCAGGGGTTCCATGGGTCCTTTTGTGACACTCAGAAATCTCTCCTGCTAAAGCCCTACCTCTAGTTCATTTGAGAACATAAGAAGCTCTTTTGCTATTCTACTTCA